CTGATTTGAAATAGCTGTCAAGATTTAAGCCTGAGTCCATTATTATCTCTAGGTACCTGACCTGATTTGCCGATTTTACGGGAGGAGACTTGAATTTAATTGTCTTAGTTTAGCTGGAGACTATTGTTTTGCAGCCGCTGAATCTGTTGGATTCAAGTTTGGTCCACGTGCCATAATCGTATCCAACATATTCTGCACCAACAAAGATCTCTTACTATATACCTGTGTGACTAATTATGTAGTAACCAATATAACTGTGCTAATGTATCTCATAGTCATGAACATAATTCTATGCATCCCCTTTTTGTCTTTTCAGATTTAATTGAATTAAGTTTTTTTATTATTACTTGGTGTCACTTTTGGATGAAAAAATAACAGTTGCTGTAAAGACTCTAAACAGTTGTTACCGCTGTATGTCTCCCCAATAATTTACTTCATTATCATTACATTAACACATTTTCTCGTCTTATTCCCCACGCAGCAGACTCTGCAATGCAATCATAGAAATCTCTGTGTGTGAGCCAGTAAAAGAGGAGGTAGAGCGAATAATATGTATGTGTGTAAATGTTTGCTTTATTTTCCATAAGACCGCCAGTGTCAGTATGAAACATATTTTACTTAGCCGTTATAAAGGGAATTGTTATTAAATTGTGGCTGGTGATGCATTGCCGTTCATGTGTAGCTTCAGAAAAAAAACAGAATATTTTCAACTAGGTTGTTTTCCCAAAGCCATGCACAGTACACAGCGCATTACAACACAATGAGTGCATGGATATGAGATTTAGCTCTGAATCAATACGTGATTTAGTCGAATGAGGAATGATTTGTGGATCCCCACAGGAAAGTACAACAAAACGCTGAAAAAATGGTGTCTCCTCATGAAAAATGCTCATTATCAATGGGGGAGGTGTTTTGTCTCGATGTAATGAGATACTGTCATGCTGTGGTACAGTGCAGAACAAGCAGAGCCACCCCTATGCAGCCTGTATCATTCTATAATGTCCTTGCCCTTGATCAGTTCCCGCTGCCTTCAATTGCTCTGAAGCCCATTATAAATTAATCACCTCATCTCGCGATTTGCATAAAACACACACAGCACCATTTACACTATCAATGAACTGGTTTTAGGGGAAAACTGCATTGTGACATTAATGAGAGAGATTTAGGTATTTTATAAAATGTGCAAATCTGGCGGCTATACCGAAGCTAGGTTATGCATATCTTTTTGCATTTGATATATTTTATCTTCACAATTCTTGTATTTACTTCTACTGTGTTGTCATTGCAGATCTTCAGGGTGGATTTTGGCTCTACCAGGTAGCATGGAGTGCACCTGATTACTCAAATTAGGACAGATTTGCCCTGGAGTGATGAGGTAATCAGCTCTCCGAAAATGCCTCGCTATTACTCAGACAATGAGAGACAATAAACTTAACTGAAGGAGTGAAGATTGATTGCAGAGTTCTTATTTAGATAAACACGATTCGCAGAAAAAGGCAATTCATCTGATCTGTCTGGGTTTATTTTCACTGTGAATCAGCAGAAATGTTAGAGGCCTGCTTTTACTTACATATATGAACATAAATCATATAATTATGTTGTCAAAGCCACATAAGATCCTTTGTAGAGCTTCAGGGAGGGTGCTGTGAATCTATATCTTAGATCTTAATTGTTTTCTAGTTGGGGTTGTTTTTGTTGTTGATACAATTTGTATAAAAACTTCAGAATTACATTTTAAGTTATATGGGTTTCATCCAATTGTATACAACCCTAACCCTAACAGGTTTACTCATCTTAATCACGCAAGAGGTAATTTTAATCTGAGCTGGTTTGTCAGTTCACTGCCTGGGTTTGTTTGTCTGTTAGTTAGTTAGCAGATTGGAATCACATTTTCAGTAAATCTCTGCAAGAACAAATTCATTGATTTTGGAGGTAATCTGGATCCAGGATTTCTTTTTTAGAATGGAACTGCACCTCCTGGCAGAGGTCTGTTATCTACAAGTCCTTTTTTAGTTTCCCCTTGCTATTGCTATACATATACGTATGTTTGTCTGCTTAGCATTAATTAAGTATCAGCCGCTTCGTCCTGCTAGGTTTTTTTGAATTAGAGATTTCAAATTATAATTCATACACTTCATACAATGTGATGTATCATACCAGCCAAGGATCAGTGTTGTTAATGAGAAGAAATAATGATCTACTGAAATAGCTATGAGTAGGAAAATAATCAAAGCATAGCCTTGCAATTGAATGGCCAGTTCCAATAGTTCAAATCTGTGGATGTGTGTAAAAAGCAGCTTTCTATGCATAATTTCTTTCCATTAAAAACTCCATAAAAGAATTGCAATCAGTGGTATGTAATTATGAAATGATCCATGCAGAGTTAGACATCAGGGTTGTAAAAGCGCTGGCCTAACAATGTAGTTTGGCAGTGAGGAGCCCACATTAACAACATAACAGTAGTTATTCTCCCAGCGCCTTCCTAAATGTCACAGTTTGCATTTGTCAGATTGTAATGTATCACTTGGAGGGGGGTGATGGGAAACCCTCCAAGAGTAACCTTGAATGGCAGCCAATCGGCACAAGACCAGTGGCCTCCTATTTCCTAATTTCACTACTGCCATACATGTAAATACAGACGCCAAGGGGAGTAGAATGTAGAAATATCACGTGACCTCTTCAAACTCGTACTCTCGGAAGCTTGGGAGAGGCTAAATTGTTTAATGAAGATGGATCACAGTGATGGTGCATTTCATTTCTTAACAGCAGGCATACGGCTTTATTATAGCCAGCTCTCACCTTTGTGCTCCTCATCGCAGACAAGATACTCCTGAGGTTGTGTTCTCACTTTAGTTTTGCCAAGCTAAAACATGCCAGCTTTGTGGAACTTGCTTAGCTGGCCAGTCGACAGGGAAATGTTGACAATTCAGCCCAGTTCCATCTGCCCGGCGCTGTTCTGGGAGGTCTCTGGTGGAATAATGTCCTCTATCACCACTGAATGTCAAAAACCTGTTCTCGCAGCAGATAATTCTCAAGAAACACAATCTTGTATATCCTTGTTTATACAGTATTCGTGTGAAAGGTTTTTTTGTTACAGGTTATTATGTTTGAGATATTGAAACACAAACTTTCGTGGGTGATGGTGAAATGGAAGAACTTATTTTTGGGTTACATGTTTCTCAGTAAAAAGGGACCATAGCTGCCCCATTAAAATCTTTATTCAGGAAAAGAATTGTTGTGAAAAATAAATGTATAAAAATCTGGCATAACATTTTAGTAATTTTGCGTGTAATGTAAGGTGTAAGGTGTGACGTAAATCCCAGTAGTGAGCGATAAACAGTTAGTACTTTACTCAGTACTTAAGCTAAAAGAACAACAACAACTAAATACTAACTTACTTGCCACCTCTGGCTGTTGATAAAATTGTCATTTCGAACTTTCCTTTTGAACTTTGGTCCTAAATAAACTATACATGTATGAAACGAATCAGTAAATGTTCCTGTAATATTGAAACGCTGCACACTGCACATATCGATTTTATTTTAAAGGCGTTTCAACAACGTTCTAACCCAACAGACACTTTGTGGTGCATACTTGTCAGAAAACAAACCCTGAGGGAGAAAAGTGGACGAGTGGCAGGAGCTAAATATGTTGAAACCCACTGACATATATTAGCAGTTGAACTGCGCTCTTAGCTGTGTTCAGGTACAAAAGAGTTCTTAAATGGCATCAGCCGTGACAGTAAAGCATAGTGAACATAGCATTCGTACCATTTCTCGAGGTGTCTATGATGGAGTCGCACTCCTGAACTCAAGACCAAAGGCCAAAGGTTCAAATAGACAACTGTGCCTTGAGGCTGGGCCCTTCAACCTCTCATTGCAACTGATGAGCCAATGTGGCACAATACCTACCTGCAAATATGTTGGTCCTTTATATTGTATTAAGCATTTAAAAACACGTTTAAAGCAGCAGCCAACGTTTTGATCTCTTTATTTTCTGTATGTGCAAACAAATGCAAATTGTTCACATGTTTTATATTATTCTGTTATACTGTTATAAAATCTTGGTGCAGAAAATTGAGTCATAATTTGTATTTTATCCAGTTTCTATGGCTGTCACAAAATCGAAATATTTTGAGAATGACTTGTTTCTGAGCTAAATGGAGTTCGAAAGGCCTGTGGTTTAGCGTGTCAGTGGAGTCAGGCAGTTGCACAGGCTGAGAGATTGGGAGGGTCAGTGTGTAATGTCCATGCGATGAGTGCCGCTGCTGCTTTACGACTTCCATTTGCTCCGGTGTGGGCAGGCTTCCCACTGGCACTCGCTAATGACGCCGCCCTAATGCAGCACGCTAGAGCAGGGCTAATGTAAGTGGGGACGAGGGAATCACCAGGGCAAAAATTAAAACGCCATAATTGATAATATTTCAATGTAGCCTAACGGAATTGCCCTATAGCAGAAAGGGATTATCAATGAAATATTAATATATTGTAGGGATGCTTCAAACTGAATGCAATGTAACAAGTGTGGTAATTATGGCCTGAAATACTACTAACATTGTCTTTGCATTTCATATTCTCCATTTGTGATTACCACGTCCACCTTTAGTACCAAAACCATTATAGTCCCATAATGTCTTGTCAGGTCTATCAGTCTTTCTACAATGTATGACCTCCACACTATCAGTACACTGTGGATTTGACTTGCACTGCTAGCTAGACTGAGCTACCAGAGGCAAATCATAGTAAAAGAGGACAGTTGTCAAGGGGCATGTGAAGTCGCAAATGTCAAGCTTGGCATATGTTGCATTTTGGAAGTAAAGTAGTAGTAGAAAGCATCAATCCCGACTAAATCACACTGTTTTCTGCCACAAGGGCAGCTGACAGGAGCTGGGCCATTCCCCTCATGTGCCTTTTAGTGCTTCCTCCATGTGCCCCCATTATCCGGCCGTCCCTTATATCAAAGATGCTCTGTTTATGTTTTGAAATCTATTGATATTGCGCATGATGGATGAGCTGCTGGCAGACTTGCCCCCACTCCGAAGCGGTGTCAGAGGTGGCCCTGTTTAATGGATAGCTTGTCCGCTTCAAAACTAAATGTGGAACTATACAGCAACAAAAAATATACAGCTTGGAGAGATGTCTTTTAGCATACTGATCACATAATTGACAGTGAACAACTATACAAAGACTTACAGCATGGTGTTGAATGACCTTAAAAGCAGTATTTAAAAAAAAAAAAAAAAAAAAAGATAATCTGCTGATTATCAACATCACTGAACAATTATCTCTCCAATAGATTTCCAATTCTAAAGATGGAGGTGCGGTATTACAAGCTATAGGTTGGCCATCGAAAAAGCAGACCTGCCGGTATTTCGGATCGCTCAAACTGTGGGAAGTCAAAGACAGATAGGAGGCCAAGATTAGATAAAGCTGTGCGAGTGTGTCTTCCCAAGCACTTACACGAATAGGGAGAGCCGAGCAATAGGCATCGTCTGAACGTGCACTTTCATCCTGGTGCTTTTTTCTTGCCTCCAGCGATGGGAGTGGATGACCTTTTACTGTCAACTTCTAACATGACAAATTACAGAGCCTGGATGACCGTGTTTTTTAGGAATGCAAGAGTTCACTGCCTGGTCAGGCCGCGAGCAGGGCAGCGGACCCCTACAATAGAGACAGATGTATTAATTGATAGATAATTGTCATAGATATATTGACTCAGAGGGGAGACTGTGCAGTTTTGGGGCAAGAAATGTGATCGCTGAGGAAGCCTTTAAAGGGTTTGTCTTGTCCCCACAGGGCTGCCCGAGTTGTGGCCAACCCCAAAACTAGATCACTACATCAGTACAGATGACTCCTGGGATCAACCTCCACGACGCTTCCAGGGGCTCTGTCTGAATATAAACACAAAATTAGGTGAGGGCCATTCTTCAGTAAAAGCCTCTGTATCTGTGTGTCTTTTATCTTTGTGATGAAAACTTGGGATGTGTGTGGGTGACATGTCTTGGCCGCTGATCCAGGGGTGGCAGACACACACGGTCTGGGCTGTAGTGTCATGTCCATGCCCTGTTTAATTGCAGATCAGCTGGGGAAATGCAGAGCCAGCCTTGCTTTCTGACCTCTTCGGGCCGATCTGTGCCATGCAACCAACCCACTCTGTTGCAACCACATCAGTCACTGGGCTGTCAGTCCACACAAACAGCCTGTGAGTATTTACTGGGCTCTTGCGAGATCCACACCTGACGATGCACACTCACACATTTGCTTCTGAACACTCCTATCTTTCTTGATCGTTGTAAAGATTTGGTTGGCAAATTCATTTTTTTGCTCAAATTGACAACAGTTTCTCCCTGTATCTGGGTGGCCCTTTGGTTTCACCCAAAACATGTGAGTGTGTTTACAAAGCAGAAGAATACGAAGTACATTATAAAAACAACTTAAATGGCTCCAGTGTTGATCCCAAACGGGTCTGACCACTCTGGCCTTGTGATGATTTCAAAAGCGCCTTGTAACTTTGCCTTTGCACTCAAAATTAAGAACCGTAATTGTGAATGAAATTGCTATGATTCATACTCTCTAAGCACACTTTTGAAATGTAATCACTCAATGTCTTGTTTACTTTGAGAAATTGATTTTCACACTCACACACCAGACATTTCATTTCCGCAACGCAATTATACATACATATTTATATAAGTATGACTCTTCCCTGTGCTTTTAAATGCATCTGCTGACCTTGTCTCAGTAGTTGCCGGTTTAAGGGTTTACATGCCAGCGTGAACAGAGTAGGAATGGTCTAATGGACTCAATCTGCGCACATACATGCGTCTTGCTCAATCGAGTTAAATTGGACTAGCTGAGTTACACCGTTCTCACTAGTGCTTTGTAAACACACTCAATATACTGTGTGTGGCGTTGGGTTTGCATGTTTACTTTGTGCAATTGGTTAAAGTTATTGGCACCATATGAATGTCACTAAGGTATTGCTGCTAACACTAACACTAATGCTAAACCATGAATTAACACTATTTCCAAGTGTCTGCGGTACCTCTGGTCCTCACACAGGGCTTAAGGTTTCCTCATCTCTTGTGCATCCATCTAGAAATGATTGCCTATTTACTGGCTGTAGTCACTCTGTCCCACACAGATTGGGTCATTACATATTTCTCATTTGTTCAACGACATTTCTGTATTATGCAAATGCTAATGGATTAAGTCCCATAGACCAAATATGACTGCTATAGTTAGCCATATTGCGGTGGCCAACAGTCACTGAGCTGAGAAAATGAAATCGCCCAACATGTTGTTTGTTTATGGGCATCAACATTTGGCGTAATTGAAAAAAATCTTTGAGCTTATTAAACTGTTGTAAACAATCACACTGTATTTCATTCATGTCCAAGTTTATGGTGCCCAAAATGAAGAGGGCCGAGTTAAGCACTCATTGGTTCCAACTTATTAAAATTTCAGTTTGGACACAGTGAAAATTACACAAAACACTGATTCGTTTAGGAGATTGCTATGGGAAATTAAGTGTACACTAAGCGCACATGAGTAGAGCTAGTTATTTTCTCCTACTTTTACTTTTGATGATTATATTTTAGAATAACAGTACAATTATGGATTGATTCCGTAAATGGTTGGTATATTAAAGGATTTGATGTGTGGTTTTTTTAATCTGCACCTAATTATGAAACATCAGATTGTTTTAGATATTTGTATGATGTTATTTGATTAATTTGCTATTACAAAGATTTCATATATTTTGCATAATGTGCTGTAATGTTTTGGGAAAAATGAGATTCTACGTATGCCATACTGACACATTCTCAAGGGCATTGGCAGTACAGATATAATACAGAGATAATACAGTTCCCAAACCCTGGTATTACATGCTCAAGGTGAGATAAAACATGACTCTTGTAAGTATGGAATAGAATCGCGCATGACTACGGACACATCTGCTTTCTATTTTCACCACTGAAGTGGAACTGCATAAACCTCCATCCTCTTAGTTGGGAGAAACAAATGTTTGGCTAATGAAATCTCTCATGCCGACAAGTGCCTTAACCGCACTGTGGCAATATCACTGAGGGCTACCTAGATTCATGACTCGCCCTCCAATAAAATAAACAGCCAATAAAACATGAGGCCGGCACTCCCTTGACAGCACTTTAACATCATTACACTTTCAACAGGCTTTCACTGAAAACTTGAATATATCTTTGACTTTTCTTTATTACTTGTAGTCATGTTGGTGTCGTGTGGACAAGGTTTTATACCTTCCTCCTTAAGATCGCATATCTCATCGTTGTGCAAAACGCTTGTAAGCATCTTGGAAATCTGGTGCCGATTTGCGCTCAGCATTGCTTACAAAAACTCCACTTCCACCTAATCACTCTGCCTCGACATCAGTAGCTGGAAAACATATGGACCATGAACGCTTCCCGTCCACAGAGAAACCAAGAAGTAGTGCAGAGGGAGTTATGTGTAAAAGATAAAAATATAATAATGATGATAATAAAATGATTACTCCACGCAACGTAGATTATGAAAGAAAATCTCCATTAAAACAGAAACAGGCATTTATGGGTAATTATGCTAAGCATAACTAAATAAACAGTGTCTGTTCAAGTAGCTTTGTTTTTGTGTAAATCACAGTTATTGATACTAGTTTGTTGTGATCCGGTGGTAATTTCAAGAATGAATAGTTATTAATAATTTTCTGCACTCGTCCCTGAAGTAAATCTTGTGTTAAACTCAACACCGTATCACTTTCCTTAAGGTTAATCCCTTTAACCTTTTCTATTATTAGACTGTTAACCTGGTGTGTATACAATGATTTTCAAGAGGATTACAAAGGTTCTAATTGGGGATTAGCTTAATCCTCTTCTTGTCTGTTACAAATTCTATTACACTGAAGGATTAGACTATCAACAATAGCTTAGGGCTGCAGGGCTGAGAGGCTGAACTCCAAGACAAGTTGCTGTGCTTGTTGTAATTGGACATAAACGGCTGTTAAGCGCCACAATAGACTGTAAAATAAAAGTACTGTGTGATTCCAGGGATTTCGAGGGAAACTGGAAAAGACGTCACACTGGCATGCAACATTTGTGCTTTCTTTTGCCGCCTCAGTCTGGCAAACGTGTTGGCTTAAGTTTGTGCAATCCTGTCACCAGGTTGTAATTACATTCTCCTTTGTGTGGTCCACAGTGTGTGCCGGCTCATACAGAAATGATGTCAGACTCCCCCTATAGGACACCAGCGATAGTACACAAACAACAGGAGAGTAAAGGCTGTATCAAAGATAGATTTTGTAGTGCCATAAAAATAAGACGGTGGTATAAAATTTTTTGGTGAATATTTCACGTTAGTGTTTATATATTAATTGAGTAACTTAAAAACGATCTTAGCTAGCCCGTTTTTTCTAAGTTTGTGTCTGATGTGTTTTTTAGGCAATTCATAATATATTAGTGTATGGTACCAAACATCCCTCTTTTTCTCGTATTTGTGTTGACAATATTTTGTGAAACATTTTCTCTGAATCAAAAAATAATCCTTGTTCTCGTAGTTGTTCACAGTATATTTGCACTTTCCTCTGAGGCTTAGGAGTTACATATCACTGACATGTCACTGACATGTAACCCATACGTCTTGTACATGTGTGTTGTATGCTCTAAAGCCTCAGTAACCCAATACCACACTTTGAGGGCCAAGTACTTTACTGTTGACTCTTGAAGAAACAAATAACTCAATTTGTTTGCGGGAATGCATTCAAGTCAAATGTTTATTGTGGGATATTCATGGAATTTGAGTGAGGGCTTCACACTGAGTCTGAGCAGAAACGCGGGGAGGCTGACAGTGCTAATGGCTATAAAGATAAGTGGAAGAATGTTGACGCTCCAGAAAGCCACAGGCAATGGAGGAGGATGAAAGAGAGAGTTCAGCCACTCCCGCACAACAGTGGTACGCAATAGCAGTATTTATCAAGTCTACCCTTACACAGATTAATCCCTTTAAACGCTGTTTATAGCAGAGGATAAATAAGTGTGTCCGACACTATTATCTCATATCATGTCCCATAATGCTTTTGGCCTTTGCTGCTGTGTGATTGTGGATGTTTTAACATGACACCATAAATATACAGTGGAGACAGTGATAGTTTGCTGAGAAATGAGATGGTGTGCGAATATCCCTCTCTCTGCTCTTGTCTTTTATCTGTCTCTTTCTGTCCTCATCTCTATGCCTCTGCCTGCATCTGCAGTCTCTGAGGTGCGGCCAAAGTAAACATCATGTTCAGAGCTCTCAATCACAGGATCTTTCAGAGGAAAAGGGGGCAGTGCCCGGGCACAGGACCGGTGGCTCAGCCCAGGGAGCAGGACAGGAAGTCAGTCGCTCCCTTCCAACATCTCTCATCCTTTCGCCATGGGGACTTATATCAGACCATACCCCTGCGTACTCAAGTGGTTCTACTTGACATAAATATTTGCATGACATGGCCGACATGGGAGATGCTATCATATGTCATGCAAAGTCATCATAGACCATTAAAAGCAGCACTCATGCTGACCACCAAGACAGACAGTGGCTAAGTAGAGAATAATGGCTGACTCCTGGCCCAGCAGCAGCTACAGTTACTGAGACATGGGATCGTTCTGTCATCACGTTTTTAAACAAAATGTCATCCCAGCTATTATACTGTCATTTTTAGCTGCTCTGTCACAGCCCTGCAACAGTCCAGTGACAGATTGTCCTCTGCTACACGCCTTTCAGCAGTGACGCGCTGCACTTTTTCCCACGTACTTCAACCTTTGCCTGACTGTGGCGTACATAACTCTCAATTGTGCTCTGTGTAGCAACATGAGGAAGAGACTGTTATTTTTGTGTTTGAATGTGCCCGTGAGGTGTTGTACGAGAGTCATTTGACTTTTTGTCCATCATCACTTACTGTACTGGGAAGGATGTGTGGTTTTCATGCTGCACGACCGCTGTGTGGCATTTCCTTCATGTGTAACAAGAATATCACATTGTTTTTGGGATTTTTCTGACATTTGTATCTGTTTCCTTAATTCAGAGTCTTACTGATAACGCTGGCATAGAACCAACGCAGTTTGCCAA